CCCCCCAGGTCTACTCCACTAAGCATCCTTCACTCTGGACTCCCGTCATGACAAAAATACCTAATCACATATCCTTTTTAAACAGTTTTCTCCCTTATCTGTTTCAATGCAGTATACATTATTGAGCCCATCTTTCTCAGTCTTCTCCCAACCCCGAGTTCAGTCCTGTTTTTCAACAGTGGCACTATGCAGTATTTGTCCTTTTGTGACTGAGATACTTCACTCAGCATAATGTCCTCCAGGGTCACCCATTTTGAATAATATTGCATGAGTTCCTTGTTTATCAATGCAGCATAGTATTCCATTGTGTGAATATACCACAGCTTCTCTATCTATTCGTTTGTTGATGGGCATTTAGGTTGTTTCCAACTCCTTGCTATTGTTCACAATAGTCATTGGTTTTGACTAGGTAGGACGATACACAAATCTGGATTTCTGTGGTCCTACCAAGGGGATTGGCGGGCCTGTGAATAATTTAAATAACATAAACTGAACTTTTGGGGTGGAAACACGCAAATGATGTATGTAGACTTTCAAGGCAGATCTTCCATAATGCTAGGCTTAAACTGAGTGGGTTCAAAGGCAAAAACAAGGAATCTCACTACTATCAAGAAATTGGCAGGAGAGAGTGTAGTATGACCTTTAGGCCAGGGTTTCTTGTACAAGACAGTGAAGAACAAAATGCTGTAGCAGCAGCAAAAGTGGCAGAGAATCAGACTGGTGTGAGACAGAGCTGAAGGAGATCTGCCACCTGCAGAGTGAAAGCCAAGGGCCTTTGCATATCCTACTGTTGGGTGTGTGGGGGAGAGATGGAGAGTGCACATTATTGCCAGAACCAATGGAGCACTGTAACCCTGGTCCAGAGCCAAGAGACTAAAGGTGAGAAGGTGTCCACAAGCACTCCTGAGAAAAAACTGTCTGATGAAGAACTGCCTCTTGAATATTTTCAACCAGAACTGTAATTTGTTATTTTCCTAATAAATCTCATAATCAATTGTAATGGATTACTGAGCCTGGCAATAGTGTAGCTCGAGCTGTCAGAGGGCAGCTGGTGTTAGACTTGACAGAAGAAACTGTAAATGTATGGGGGCATGTCTAATTTAATAGACCAGTGTGGTGCAGCTGAGGTGGTTGACAGGAATTCTCCGCCCTACAGAGCTGGTGGTGGTCAGACACCCACCACTGTTCCTATAACAACTGCACTGTTTTCACCCTCTCAGTGAGATGGACTGAGTGAGATGCAGTGTAACAATAGGCTCAAACATAATGATGACTTTGAGGATGTGGCTTCAGCTTCACTATAAACTCACTATCCTGCATTTTTGGTGAAATAGCATTTGAGCAAGAGCCTATGGTGATGAAGGCAGAAGTTCAGGATGCTTTGAAGGAAATAGCAAAAAATAAGGCCCCCAGAATAGATGGTATACCAACTGACAGATTTCAGCTAACAATGCTGCCTTGGACGGGCTCACCAAGTTGTGCCAAGAAATCTGGAGAACAACCACTTGGCCAACTGACTGGAAGAGATCGATATTTGTTCCCATTCCAAAGAAGGGTGACCCAACTGAGTGTGGAAACTACAGAATAGAATTGATTTCACATGCAAGCAAGATTCTACTGAAGATTATCCAAAAACAGCTGGAACAGTACAACAGCAGAGAACTGCCAGAAGTCCAGGCTGGGTTTAGAAGGGGTCGTGATACTAGGGATACTGTAGCTGATGTTAGATGGATCTTAGCTGAAAGCAGAGAATACCAGAAGAATGTCTATCTGTGTTTCACTGATTATGCAAAGGCATTTGACTGCATGGATCATAAAAAACTGTGGCTGACTCTGAGAAGAATGGGAATCCCAGAACATTTAATCATGCTAATGCGAAACCTATACTTGGACCAACAGGCAGTCGTCAGAAAAGAGCAGGGCAACACTGCATGGTTCAAAATTGGGAAGGGTGTACGCCAGGGATGTGTCCTATCTCCATACCTTTTCAACCTGTATGCAGAGCAGATTATTCAAGAGGCTGGGCTCTATGAGGAGAAGCGTGGCGTTAGGATTGGTGGACGATCTATCAACAATCTGCGTTATGCAGAAGACACAACCCTGCTCGCTGAAACTGAGGAGGACCTCATGCACTTACTGCAGAGAGTCAAGGACTGCAGCCTTCAGTATGCACTAAGGCTCAATGTCAAGAAGACAAAGATTCTCACCACTGGACCAATCGGCAGCATCAGGATGGATGGCGAAGAGATTGAGATTGTTCACAGCTTCAGTTTGCTGGGCTCCACGGTCAACACTCTTGGCACCAGCAGTCAGGAAATAAAAAAACGTATTGTGATGGGAAAGTCTACTGTTAGGGACCTCTCTAAAGTAGTCAAGAGCAACGGTGTCTCTCTGGAGACTAAGGTCCGCCTGATACAGGCCACGGTTTTTGCAATCACTTGTTATGCATCAGAGAGTTGGACAATGACTAGGGAGGATAGAAGGAGAATTGACGCCTTTGAGCTGTGGTGCTGGAGAAGAGTATTGAATGTACCATGGACTGCCAAGAAAACAAACAGATTCATCCTGGAGAGGGTTAAACTAAGCTACTCCTTGGAGGCAAGGATTCTGGGGCTTCGTCTGACATACACTGGACATGTTGTAAGGAGAGACAGGTCTTTAGAGAGGGACATCATGCGGGGTAGAGGGACAGTGCAGGAGGGGAAGACCCTCTATGAGGTGGACTGATTCAGTGACTGGGGTAATCGGGATGGGTGTGTCAGAGGCAATGGGACTGGCACAGGATAGAGCAGGATTTAGGGCTGTTGTACATAGGGTTGTTATGAGTCACAAATGACTCGAGGGCACATAACAACAACATCCTGCATTAGCCTCACAATCTCCAACAAGCTCAAGTCCATTGTTACAGTCACTGTATCAATTGATCTTTATCAGGGTCTTCCTATCTGCTGTCCTAGCAGTCCTTTTCCAAGGACTAGCCCCTCCTGACAACACACCCAGCACATGTGAGGGGGAGCTTCAGTATCCTTGTTTCTAAGGAACAAGTGGCTGTACTTCCTCCAAGATGGACTTGTTTGTTCTGGCAATTCATGGGCTATTTAGCAATCTTCTCCAACATCACAATTCAAAGGCATAGACTCTTCTGTCATCTTTATTCACTTTTCAACTTTCATTTGCACAGGAAGCAACTAAAACCACTATGGCTTTAAACTGACATTGATACTCTTAAGCACTTTGGAAAAGTCCTTGACAGCTGTTTTCCCTAGTGCAACATGTCTTTTGTTTTCCTGGCTGCTCCTACCATAGATATCAACGTGGGTCCAAGTAATCTTCATTCACTGACAAATGTTTTTGCCTTTCTTTTCTTTTTAATTTTTCTTTTATTATTTTTTTGTGTGTGTACCGTCAAACAGGGTCTGAATGATACAGAAGGAAATTGTCCCTCCTTCCCCGGCAGAGAATCTGGAGGATTCGAACCGCGTGCCTCTGGGCTTGCAGTGCATTTGCCTATCAAGATGTGAGGATTTTTGTTTTCTGGTTTAAGATGTAATCCATATTGAAAGCTGTACAGTCTTTGATCTTCTCTATTAAGTGCAAGTCTCCTTCACTTTTGCAAAGTTGTGTCATCTGCTTAATGCAGATCTGTCTTCCTCTAATCCTGATGTCACGTTCTTCTTGATATATATAGCTTTTCAAATTACTTGCTCAGCATAAAGACTGAATAGGTATGGAAAAGGGATTATACCTTTCCTGATTTTATGTCATTGCTAGCATTATGTTAAAGAACAAGAAACAGCCCAAAGATTATTTATTAGTAACCAGAGGAATGCCTATCTGTGTTTCACTGACTATGCAAAGGCTTTTGACTGTGTGGATCACAACAAACTATGGTTGACTCTGAGAAAAATGGGAATATCAGAACATTTAATTGTGCTTATGCAAAACCTATACTTGAACCAAGAGACAGTCATCAGAACAGAGCAAGGAGATACTGCATGGTTCAAAATTGGGAAGGGTGTCCACCAGGGATGTATTCTGTCTCCATACGCTTTCAATTTGTATGCAGAACAGATCATCTGGAATGCTGGGCTGTACATGGAGGAATCTGGCATCAGGGTTGGAGGAAGATTCATCAGCAATCCGTGTTATTCAGACGACACAGCCCTGCTTGCTGAAACTGAGGACGACCTGAAGCACTTGCTGCCGAAGGTCAAGGACTGCAGCCTTCAGTATGGATTGTAGCTCAACATCAAGAAAACAAAGACTCTCACCTCTGGGTCAACTGGCAGCATCAGTATGGATGGTGAAGAGATTGAGATTGTTAACAGTTTTAGTCTGCTTGGTTCCACAATCAATACCCTTGGTATCAGCAGCAAGGAAATCAAGAGACAAACTGCACTGGGAAAGTCAGCAGAGTCAGGGACCTCTCCAGAGTACTGAAGAGTAATGATGTCAGGTTGGAGACTAAAGTGCACTTGATCTGGGCCATAGTCTTCACAATTGTGTGCTATGCATCAGAGAGCTGGACAGTGACTAGGGAAGACAGAAAGAGAACTGATGCTTTTGAAGTGTGGTGCTGGAGAAGAGTGTTTAATATACCACAGACTGCTTGGAGAACAAAAGGTTTGTCCTGGAGAGGGCGAAACTGGGCTGTTCCTTGGAGGCAAAGATTCTGAAGCTTCGTCTGACATACTTTGGGCATGTTGTAAGGGGGTATCAGTCCTTGGAGAGGGACATCATGTTTGGGAGGGTGGAGGGACAGTGCAAGAGAAAAAGATCCTAGATGAGATGCTTCGATTCAGTGACTGGGGTAATGGGAGTAGGTGTAAAGGCAACAGCGAGGTTGGTATAGTATAGAGCAGGGTTTAGGGCTCTTGTACACCAGGGTCACTATGAGTCGCAAGCAACTCGACATCAAATAACAACAATAAGCTGAGTACACATTTCTCCTAAACCAATACACACATATAGACACATATCAAAATCCAATGATAACTTACTTGAACCCGCACAGCTTCATAACGGATTTGTGAAAACTCACGAAGACCAAAAGAACCTCCAATAACCAGCAACTAGAACAACAACAACAAAAAAGGAAAGATGGCAAAATATGAGGACTTATTTAGAAAATGCTTTTCTAAACACCAACAGAGGCAGATTCTGTAAAATCTTATAGATCATTTTTTCCTGGTGAGCTTGCAGAGCAGACACAAACATATACAATTAGCTTGTTTCCTAGTACATACTCTCTCTTAAAAGCATTGTTGTTGTTAAGTGCCTTTGAGTGGTAGACTACTCACAGCAACCCTATGAACGAAAGACCTGAACACCTGTATAACTTTCATCATTTCTCCAAGTTTACAGAGTTTCTGGAGGCAAACTGTTTTAGAAGTGGAAGTCACTCCTGCTCCCAAGTTTGTTTTAATTGGGGAGCTCCACCAAACACTGTCCACCATGGGTAACCATTATCACATTTGACACATCAGTGTCAAGCATCACAGCAACCACGAGTTAGCATTTAAAAAATTTAAAGTAAATAGAGTTTTCTGTAAAATAGAGGAGATGATATTCATCCTATCCCATCTTTCCTCTTTTGTTTTTTCACCACAGTTTGTAAATCAAATTAGCCTTTTTTTTTATATAGCTTGTCTTTGGGGATTATAAGGAATACCAGTAATATGCTTAATGTTCTATTTTTGGAATAATTCTTGTGTTTTCTTAGAATTATAAGCAGGAGCATTATCAGTCTTAATAAATTAGGAGTTTCAATTAAATGCTGAATTACATACTCTTAATTTTTCTCTTGTTAAAACTGTGGCCTACAGAAAGCCTGAGAAAAGTATCATTAGTATGATGGACATATAATTTTCTAAATGATGGAATATTAGTAACATCTATCTGTCATAATATTTTTTGTCTATCACTTCTAGGATTGACTTTTTTTTTTGTAAGGTGGTACATTAATGGGACTACACTGAAGACATTTTTTATAATTTTTCAAGCTTGTTGCTGTGTAATTCCAAATTTTTTCATCACTCCATTAACAAATGAGTATGGAGATAAAAATCTTCACTAATTTTAACATTTTCAAATAATACTCTATTTTATCATTTAATTGTGACATTGTAAATAACATACTAATATTAATCTCTTGAGAAGCAATATATATTGTTTCTCTATTTCTTACAGTAAACTCAGCATACTGTGAATCAGTAACTATACTAAAATGAAAATTCTTATCTTGCAATATCATAGTAATAGTATATAATTTAGCCTACTGAACAGAGGTCAAGTTCCTACTAGCTACTAAAGGACATTTTCATGAATTCTTTCCCCTTTTTTGGGTCAACAAGTTCTTGCTCACCACTGCAAAACTTTCATAAAAAATATGGCTACAACATTCATAACCTATTAACATGTCTCATCAGTATGTGACAATTGGTGCCATGCAGAAATGTAAGATGACCATATCAGATAATCAAAAAGAATGACTATATAACATAATTCCCAAATCACTAAAAATCATGACCCAGTCAAGTTAACAAATAACCAGACACCCAAGGTTGCTCATATTCTATTTTTGCTTTCATTACTGCCAAATGTATGTGATTCATTCACAAAATAGTAAGAAGATGGTTTTTATTGTCATAAATGCAAAACACAGCTAGTAAGACAGTCAACAGGAGTTAGGTATATTTCTCTCACCTTAACAAGCCAATAAATAACTTTTCTAGCAATGGTATCAGTCTGGGGAGAAAGGTGTGCCTGATACAGGCCATAGTGGTCACAATTACTTTCTACACATCAGAGAGCTAGACACTGACAAAGGATGATAGAAGAAAAACTGATGCCTTTGAGTTGTGGTGCTGAAGAAGACTAATAAATATACCTGCTTGGAGGATAAAAACATCTGTCCTGGAGAGGGTGAAAGCAGGATGAAGGCAAGGATTTTGAAGCTCCATCTGAGATATACTTTGGGCATGCTGATAGGAGGGGCCAGTCCTTGAAGAGGAACATTATGCTTGTAAGGATGGAGGGACAGTATAAGAAAGGAAAACTCTCAATGAGATGGACTGACTCAGTGACTGGTGTAACAGGGGTAGGTGTGTCAGAGCCAATGAAGTTGGCACAAGACAAAGCAGGGTTCAGAGCTGCTGTACATAGGAGTGCTATGAGTCACAAGTGACTTGATGGCACATAACAACCACCTCTTCAATAGTTACTGTCCTATAACAATCATACCTCTTCACTAGTTACTGTCCTATGTCTATAACGATCACCACCTCTTCACTAGTTACTGTCCTATGTCTGCCATAAAATTTCACAAATGAGTTGCCTATATTCCCTGTTCCTCCTCTTTTTAAAATTCAGTCTAATCACTGATCGCTACTAATCTCAAGGATTGATTCTCTGCTGTCATCTTATTTGATAAGCAAAATTTGACACTGTTGATCATGCTGTTCTTCTCTTCCCTTGTACCTGGTTTTTCTGTAACCTCAAAAAGAATTCCTTATTAGTCTGCTTCTTTATTTGGGACACTCTGACATTACAAGTTTGCGGCTTTCACAAATGTCTCATGTCATAATAATTGGTCATCTAGCTTCTCTACCTATTTCTTTTGTGACCTCAATCAAACCTATGCCGTTATTATTCAGAAATTAGGGCACTTTGGTAACATAGTCCAAAGGAAGTCGAGCAGCCAACCCAAAGGTCACACCTCTCTAGCGGTTCAAATCCTCCAGCGGCTCCAAGGGAGAAAGATGGGCAATCTTCCCTCATGTAATTCACAGATTCCTGAAAACCTTCTGGAGACTCAGCTGAGTCAGTTTCAGCCTGCAGGCAATGACTGAGTGAGTGATTAATAAATTAATATTTTCAGTTTAGGTATCACCTCAAACTCAAACTTCCATCACTGAACTATTCATGTATCTCCCTCAGACTTCCCATCTCAGCTGACAGCAATTTCATCCTTTCAGATGCCTACAAACAAGTATACAAAAAACCCCTTGTTTACTCTTTCTCGCATCCCACATAAAATCAATCCAAAAGCAAATTATGTTGCCTCTATTTTCACATCTTTTCACTGCTACCACCATGGTTCCAGAGATTATAATTTCACATTTAGTTTACTGTGCTAATCTGTTAAGTCGATTCCAGGGGATCTTTTTAAATTGTAAGTAAACCAAAAACCAAAAAGTGTATCGCGATGGGAAAGTCTGTTGTTAGGGACCTCTCTAAAGTACTCAGGAACAACGGTGTCTCTCTGGAGACTAAGGTGCGCCTGATACAGGCCAGGGTATTTGCAATCGCTTGTTATGCATCAGAGAGTTGGACAATGACTAGGGAGGACAGAAGGAGAGTGGATGCTTTTGAGCTGTGGTGCTGGAGAAGAGTCCTGAATGTACCATGGACTGCCAGGAAAACAAACAGATTCATCTTGGAGAGGATTAAAACAAGCTACTCCTTGGAGGCAAGGATTCTGGGGCTTCGTCTGACATACTTTGGACACGTTGCCAGGAGGGACGGGTCGTTGGAGAGGGACATCATGCTTGGGAGGGTGGAGGGACAGCACAGGAGGGGAAGACCCTCTATGAGATGGATTGATTCGGTGACTGGGGTACTCGGGATGGGTGTGTCAGAGGCGGTGCGGTTGGCGCAGGATAGAGCAGGGTTTAGGGCTGTTGTGCATAGGGTCGCTATGAGTCGAAAACGACTCGACGGCACATAACAACAACAACAAGTAAACCATACCCTTCCTCTGCTCAAAATACTGCTATGGCTGTCATGGCATTAACTATAGAACTTACATAAAGTCCTCATAAGAGCCTGTAAATCCTACTTAGTAAAAGTTAATTTTATGGAAAAAAAAATCTGATATTTAAAAAGGCTACATTTTTCTTTGGCTGATGGAGAAAATGACGATTTATGCTACCTGAGAGTAAGTTGATTTTTTTTTTTAAAGTTAAAAATATTCTTTATGGCATCCCTGATAGGAGGCATAGGCTACTATATAATACATGACCTTTCTCTATTATTTATAACTTTCACACTAGGAAGATCTAGGGAGCTCTGGTGGCCTAGTGCTAAGAATTTACACTGCAATCTCAAAGGCATGTGGTTCGAATTGGCCAGCTGCTCTGTAGGAGAAGGATAGGATGGGCAATCTCCTGCCTTGTGATTACTGCCTCAGAAAACCCCCTGGAGGGTCTATTATGGGTTGGTTCCCACTTGATGTTACACAACAACAAAGAGGAAACAAGACCAAAATTAAAGTTCCAAGACTAGCAATCAATAATCACTGTTTGATTAAGAGGTTTACATAATTTTGCCTGCTAGTGGGTTTGCACTATACATGGATGTATTTACAGGCTATACCAATATGAACATAAAGATAAAAATCAAGAAATGAAGAAAGTATAGCATTCTGGAAATAGAAAATAAAAAGCCAGCAGTGGATTCCTGAAGAAAAGGAGATAATATTTTTCCAGTGAAAGTTATGCAGAGGGAACACCATTATATCCTACAGATAAAAGATTATTAAAAAAAATATTATTCCAAGTAAAAACTAACCTGCCAAAATTGACACAAGAAAATATCACAATGGTCTTATGTCATAAAAAAAAAAGAATAAACTTAATCCACAATGAACCACGAACCAGAAAGCCGCGGCACGTGAGCCACCGTGCTCCAATTAATCCATAATGAAAAACAAGTCCAAAGAAAGAAAATGTCAAGCTCATATGATTTCACAGGCAAATTCTTTAAAGCATGTAAGAATGACTGGTTCTGGTATTTCGCAATTTTTTTGAAAAGAAGGAGGAACACTCTACACTTTATTTCACTAGACCATTTTAAAGTTGATGAGAAATCTATCAAGGGCATTACAAGGAAGGAAAAACACAGATGTATTTTTCTGAAGACCACAGATGAAAAAAATTTTAAAAGGACAATAAATATAAATCTTTATCTTACTCCCCCCCTTAAGGTTGAGTGAAAATTTACAAAGGAAACTGGTTTCCAATCAAACCAATTATACACATTTAGTTTTAGTTACATAAAAAATATAACCAAAGTCATTCCACTTCCATCCTGTGATTCTCATTTGAATTAATCCTTCTATCATACCCCTTTTCCTGCCTTCTATTGCCTTTTGCTATAGTGTGGCTGATAATTTTAAGGATTAAATGTTACTGTTCACTTTAGAAGCCTACTGTTTAAAGATGAGCCAACAGAGGTAAGTTTTGTTCCAGGACTAAGAGTGACTAAGGGTCACAATTTTGGGCTCTTAGTTACCAGTCCACCAGAGTGTAGAGAGTTTGACCAGCTCTCTATCAGATGAGTAAGCCTGCTCATTTTTATATGTTTTTTTCCACATTTTTCACTCACTCTATCCACGCTCTATTACTGTAATCCCTTTTAGACTGGTCAGCAGTGGTAGCCAAGAATCATCTAGTTTATTTGGTCTTCGGGTTCTGGTGCTTGAGACTGATGTAGTTCACTAGTCCTTTGATTTGTTTCCACACATATTCACTTCCAATCTCTCATCCTTGTTCCAGAGGAGAGACAAAGAGTTGTACCTTAGCTCCTCTCAAGCTTTTAAGACCTCAGTTGCTATTCATGAGAGTAGGATGTAGAACACTACCTCATCGTCCAGTTTTATAACAAACTTTGATGTTCCCTGAGACTATGGTCCCCAGACCAGCAACTCATAATTATTATTTATGATTAAGAAGTTTATATCATTTTGCCCCCTGGTGTGCCATCGAGTCACCTGTGACCTACAGCAACCTTATGTACAGCAGCTCTGAACCTTGCCCTGTCCTGAGCCAGTCTCAGTAATTCTGACACACCAACCCCCACTGCCCCAGGCACTGTATCAATCCATCTCATCCAGAGTCTTCCTCTCCTTTGTTGTCCATCCACCCTTCCGAACATGATGTCCTTCTCCATAGATTGCTCCCTCCCAGCCACATGCCCAAAGTATGTGAGATGGAGCTTCAAAATTCTAGCCTCCCAGAAGAAACTTGGCTTCTCACTCTCCAAGAAAGATCTATTTGTTTTCTTGGCGGTCCACGGTATGTTCAACTCTTCTCCAGCACGACAACTCAAAAGCATCAATTCTTCTTTTATCATCCTTAGTCACTGTCCAGCTCTCTGATGCACAGCAAGTAATTACAAAGATCATGAACTGGATCAGGGGCACCTTAGTCTCTGGACTTAAATCGTTGCTTGTCAATACTCTGGGGTGGTCCATGACATGTGGCAATATTATTTGCCAAAATCATGACTGGTCATGTATTCTAACAGTCACTTTTATCAGTTCATCTTGCCTGCCTACCTTTATCTGCTTGCTTACAAGTTAATTTTTATTACTGCTGAGATTGCTGAACTGGGTATTTAACAATGTTCTCTTTTGTTGACTGTACTTCTTGTGCACCTAACCCTGCCTATTTTTTTATATGTATTTATTCCTTTCTCATTGCTGGTAACAATCCAAGAAAGTTTCTTCCTGTATAGAAACCTTTCTTTGCCTTTCTAGAAGAGTAGACTCATATAGTATTTCTTATTTTGTGACTGATTTAATTCTCTCAGCATAACGCCTACAATATTAATTCAAGGTAATGGTTCCCCATGGTGGACAGTGTTTGCTAGAGCTTCCCGACTAAAACAAGCCTGGAAGCAGGAGCAACATCCACTTCCGAAATGGCTTGCCTCCGGAAACTCTATGTATGAAGAGTGCTCAGACCTTTCATTCATAGGGTCGCTATGAGTCGTCTATGATTCGACTGGCACCTAACAACAACAACAACATGGTATGTAATGGTTTCATGAACTCTTCATTACTCTTTAATACTTCATAGTATTTCTGTGTGTTGTTGTTAGGTGCCATGAAGTCCAGAAGGAACCACAGTAACCCAATGAAGAGAAGTGAATCCTGTCCTAGTCTGTGCCATCTTCAAAACCTCCTGCCACACCCATGCCCACTGCAGTAGTCACTGTGTCAATCCATCTGGTTGAAGGTCTTCCTCTCTTTCACCAGGCCTCCATCTTTCCTAGTCTGATGTCCCTCGAAAAGGAACAGCCTCTTCTAGAAACATGCCTGAAGTATGTGGGACAGAGTTTTATCACTTTTGCCAAGGTGCATCTGGCAGCACTTTCTCCTAGACATTTTTATTATTTTGGTAGTCCATGGGATATTCAGTACTGTTTTCCAATTCCAACAGTACAATTCAAAGGCATCAATTCTTCTTCTGTCATCCTTATTCACTGTGGCCTTTGTGTATGGGGACCAATAGTTTATAATTCATCCACTGACGGGATACTTATCAACTCTTTGCAATTAGAAAGTGTTACAGTAAACACGTGGTTGTGTACCACAGCCTTGGAATCGACCCACAGCTGACCTTCCAGACGGTTTTCAGAGTCTGTGAACCACACAGGAGGAGACTGCCCACCTTCTTCCCACAGAGCAGCTAGTGGATTCGAACCCCACACCTGTGGGTTGACAGTGGAAGTTCTTACTAGGCCATCAGAGTTCCCTACATAATCATGGATATGTATATCTCTTTTCATGTTGCAGAACTGCCAATCTTTCGATTTACCATCCAACACACAGTTACTAACTATGCCACCACTGCTCCCATTCACTCACTCACTCATTCACTGACTCTCATCTAGAAGGTCTGGATTCACAGCAACCCTCCAAAGCTCTCCAAGCCTGTAAATCTCAAACAGAGTTAATGGCCCATTCCATCCCGCGGAGCCGCTGGTGGATTTCGACGACGCCATCAGAGGTGCCTAACTGCTTTAAAGCTCAGAACCAAACGAAAACCTTCTCCTTGTCCAAGCCCGAACTTTCTGCCCCAAATACCAGGGGAGTCCCTGAAACATTATTCCAGCCAAGATAAGGCCGCACCCCTTCCGGTATCCGGCCCCCAAACTTCTCCCGCAGCCTCCACTCACCAACATGGGAAGTCCGTACTGTAGCGTCTTGCTTTTGCGCAAAGCTTGCATTACTGAAGGAGGAAGCATTGCTCAAGTCTCTCTGTCCTGCCTGGCTCCCCGCCAAGCACACCGACGGACGCCACGAATCGCCAATACTTCAGACTTGCTTCCGGACTAAGGTCCTCCTTCAGCCACTGCCTTTCCTTGGCCCGCTGACGTGCAGTGCTCTCTTTATTGACTTCCGCCAGGCCAGAGCAATCGCTCCACGGTGCACACAATAGTTCTCCTCCGGAAAGTCTAACTCCAGAAGTTTAGTTCCGGAACGCCAGCAATGTAGTTTATGGAGCTTGAAGTTTATAGACTCGAAGCATGTAAAACAAGGTATCTTTCAGATTCCGGAACATCCCTGGCAGATAACGCAAATTCACTGCATTCCAGTAAAATTGTCTCTCTTGTAAATCTTTACCAGAAGGGAGTGCTGGTGGAAGCAGAGGGATGTGGATGTGCAGGGGAAAGGAGGATTTTTTTTTTTGATTTTTTTTTTGGAAAGGAGGATTAATCATCGGGTTGTACAATTTGATGGGTGAGACGGTGAGGGAATTGATAGGATTTGTTAGAATTTGTATTCGAATTTTGTAAGGAAACTAGTTGTTGTTGTTGTTATGTGCCATCTAGTCGCCTGCGTAGCGACCCTATGTACAACAGCCCTAAACCTTGCTTTATTCCGTGTCAGTCTCACTGTCTCTGACACATCTACCCCCATTATCCCAGTCACTGAATCAATCCATCTCATCGAGAGTCTTCCTCTCCTGCGCTGTCCCTCCCCAAAGACTAGTCCCTCCTTACAACATGTCCAAAGTATGTCAGACGGAGCCTCAGAATCCTTGCCTCCAAGGAGCAGCCTGGCTTCACCCTCTCCAGGAAAAACCTGTTCGTTCTCCTAAGCAGTGCATGGCAAATTCAATACTCTTTTCCAACACCACAGCTCAAAGGCAACAATTTTCCTATCATCCCTAGTCATTGTCCGGCTGTCTGATGCATAGCAAGTGACTGCAAAGACCATGGCATGTATCGGGCATACCTTAGTCTCCAGACTGACATCGTTGCTCTTGAGTACTTTAGAGAGGTCTCTAACAGCAGATTTTCCCCATCACAATGCGTTTTTTAATTTCCTGGCTGCTGGTTCCAAGAGTGTTCACCATGGAGCCAAGCAAACTAAAGCTCTAAACAATCTCAAACTCTTCGCCATCCATCATGATGCTGCCAATCGGCCCAGTGGTGAGCATCTGTTTTCTTGTTATTGAGCAAAATTGTATTTTGGTTCTCGTGGCCCTATTTTCATTTTCTTCTCCTCAATTTGAACTAGCACATGAGTAATTGATGGTCTGTTTCACAGTCTGCTCTTGGCCTATTTTTTTAAAAGCTTTTCCATCTATTCCTTCCATAGATGTACAGTCAGTCTAATTGCTGTGTAATCAGGTGAAATCATAGATAAAGTTGTCATATTTTTTTAAAAAAGACATTTGAAATTAATAAGTCTTTGAACATACAAAATTAGATCATTCTATTTCCAGCCTTATTTCTATCTCCAAGTCCATACTCTCCAACTTCTATTTCTTCTTCATTTTTTCCAACTTTTGAAGTCCAGTCCCCGATTATCATTAGCACATCTTGATTGCATATTTGGTCAGTTATGGACTGCAAGATTTGGGAAGAGTTTTCAATTCCCTCCTCTTTAGCTGTAGGAGCAAATATTTTAATAGTAGTTGTATTAACAAGTCTTCCTTGTGTGTGTATGGATAATATCCTGTGACTCACATTGTCCTTCAACACGTCTTTTTAAATTTTTATTATTATTATCATTATTAATTTTAATAGACATTTACAGAGGTTTTGG